TTGTGATTAGCATAGCATAATGTTACCATTATTCCACAATACTTCCATGCAAGGACTGGGATGAGCATAACCCTAGTGTGTCGTAAATCACAGTTGGTCTTCCATCAAGGGAGTGTTTTGAGCATGACACTAGCTTGCCACAAATCACAGTTTCACAATGGATGGACTGTGATGAGCATATGCTAAGGATATGCATAAGCATGGTACTAGGTCGTCATAAGTCGCAGTTCTTCCATGGTGGGTCTGTGTTGAGCATGACACTAGTAAGTATCTATCAGGGGTAAATTCTCTTTCTCTCGGGGTTCTCCACACTGTCAGGGGGGAATCTCGTCTCGTCTCTCTATCTCGTCCCCTTGAGGTACGGGATCGGGAAAGTCACTTTAACTTTACAGTCAAATAAGGCACACACAACGAAATACGTTTCAACTCTCGTCTTAGTCGATCTTTTGGAGCACTCTATAAGACACAGCGCCCTGGGGAAAAGTCCCCAAGACTCTCACAAGGCCGAACCAAGACTCGCCCAAGACTGGACTCTCTCAAGGCTCGCCCCTGGACTGGACTCTCGGACTCAGACTGGACTCGACTCCCCAAAGCTGCGTCTGTCGTGGAGTATTCGCCAAGACCAACTCAAACTCTTTTTATTCATTTTCAAAACTCTAACCAATTACAAAGCAGTAAAAAGACTCTAAGGCGTAAACTTCAATCATAAAGCCAATCAAACTAAGTACTGAATACGTCATATCTTTTGATTAATCGTTCACTACATTAATAACTATGAATATAAACTGTCAGAATGAGTAGTCTAAAAAGCGGTGGTTATCTGGTAATTAGTTCCAAATCACTGAGCCAAGTTCCGTCCAAAACTTCAAATAGGCCTACACGATGACAGACATAACACAGCAATTCGCTAATAATCAGTTAATTAACTCGGTCAACAGATACGCGAAAACAAATTCATGACAATCACAAGCCCTTCGCGGGAAAACTGTGATAATCGTGATGGTACTATGTCACCATGTGTCACATATCGTTCATGGAGGAACCTTGATAACAATGACACTGTGAATCATAATTCAACCTTGGAGGGACTATGTTGAGCAAGGCAATACATCGCCCTGAATCAGAGCTCCTTCATAGAGAGACTAAGACAGGTGCGTTACTAGGTGGTCAAATCACAATTCTTCCAGAAAAAGATGTGATAAGCATGGCATGTAGTCGCCATTGATCATGGTTAAATCATGGAGGACCTCTTGAAGACTCAGATAAGTGTGGCATTAGGTTCATGTGAATCATTGTTATTCCATGAAAGGTCTATTATCAGCATGGAATGGGATCGCCATAAATCATAGCTTCTCAATGATGGGACTGTAATGAGCATATTACTAGGTCGCAATGACTCATGAGCATAGCACAAGATCACTTTAAATCTCCTCAAAGGAGAGACTGAGATAAGCCAGAAGCAGGGTCATGAATCACAGTTCTTTTGCACAATGTTGACATGAATTACATTGGTTTGCTGTGAATCGCAGTTCCTTCATGATAGAGCTGTGAGAAGCATGTCGTGGTCACAGTTCTTCCATGGAGATACTGTAATGAGTGTGAAACTCGTGCACAGTGAATCGCTATACCTCCATGGGGCGATTGGGAAGAGCATGGCAATTATGTTGCCATGCAATACAGTTCTTCCTTAGAACTATAGCTATGAATAGAACTGTAGCTATGAATCACTATTTCAATGAGTCAATATAGATCACAGTTGTTTCGTGTACTGGAACTGTAATGGGCTTGGCACTATAATCCTCCATAATTTTACTGTGATGAGCAACGGAATAGGTTGGCATGAATCTCAGTTCATCCGTAATGGAACTAATGTCATGAGGGATGCAGGCACCGTACAAGGAGACACTGCATTTCGCAATGGTATCACTCATTCAGAATTCTTAGGGGAGGGTATAAATAATTAACACATGCAGGGATGGATACCAACCGTTACGTTTTCAGCGTAATCATTACAAAATTGAGGGCAAGATCACGCTGTTACAATATAGGGAATAATTACTACGAAAATAATGCTGAATCTTTTTACTTCGACCGTTTTCCCAAAGACCCTAATAATTTTACACCATGAATTTTGATAGTATGTAAATAATATTGTAATAAAACGTGCGTATTTTGTGGTCTTTTATGTTGCATCATGGTAACAGTGTTGTGTAAATCTATGGCGATGCAACTCATTTTATTTCCCCCCAAAAGTCGTATACTGGCAAAGGTTATGAAAAGACTCCTCACCATCTTTCATTCGAATGTGGAAATGAAAGGGTATCCATTTTAGTTACAAAGAATACGAGCATAGACTTAATTTGGTGTCTATATTAACTCACAAGCAAATGTTGGATACAAATGGTGTCGCATACCACTCTGTTGAACTTGAGCCAAGTTTGCTTATACCTAATGAGATCCTTCTCAGTTGTTTTCAGTCACATATTGTTCAAAGAATATAATCTGAATAAAAGTCCAAAGTCAAGCTAATTTTACTCCTTGACAGGCAAACATCAAACACACATTGACAATCTAATTTGCTAATGTATAGTCTTTAATTTCTATTATGCAGGACATAACAATTAATTTCATAATGAAAAATTCATTTGAAAAATAAGATCTATATATTAAATATATCATTTGTATATTTCTCGATATTCAGTAGGGTCGAGAACATTCACAGTCGTAAATTTTAATCATTACTATTTGTCAACAATTGGCATCATTTGTATCATGCCTTAATATTGATATAGAGACGTTCAATGTGTTTCTATATTAGCCCCCCCCCTTGATTGGCAAATCTGGTCATCTCATAAAACGACAAATCAGTGACTAGAAGACTTTAAACATTTAAGGTTAATTGGGGAAAACGTAAGCCGTGACTACTCAAAAGCCAGGCTTATATCATCTTCGTACTGTCATTGGTCTACTTTTGCAATGAGAAGATTTGTGTGTAACCATATAAAAATTATAACGACCATATAGGGCTTATAAAATTCACTCGTAATTGTTCTTGCTGTTACAAGATTCAATTTGTTATTACTAGGTATTCCCGCCATGTTGCTTTGACTGTTGTCGACGAATGCGGTGATACAAGAGAACGAATAGTGGTAATTATTCAATAACGTGTAAAGTAAAGTTGGAAT